CTTCGACGTCGCATACCAAAATGCATGAACTTTGAGTTGAGCCATCGCTATTTGTTTGACTTACGTTGTATTTCCTCCGTGTTCACGTTCAATATCCTCCTGAATGGCTTTAATAAGCTTTTGCCTAAATGACCATTCTTTGTTACTACGATAGACTGTCTTTTCCATAGCATTGTTATACCTACTGTCAAACGAATTCAAAGAAAAATAACAAGTGCCCGCACGGCAGGCGATAACAGGATACGTACAGCATTCCCGATTATTCGTGCATGCCTTCAACACACAAACATCAACGGAAAATTAAAACAGTCACAATGTCACATTTATGAGCAGTATATGAATTTCTCAGAAACACCTCTTACACTGGCATTCATGTGTCTGAATTGTTCAGTCATTCATGGGCGAAAGATCTTTCAGAATATTTTTTTTAGTTAAAGTGTGGGAGATGCCTGTGTAAAACTTGTAATTGATGTGCGTGTTGCATATTCAAAAATTGAAGGCGTTTTGGCTTTACATAAAATAGAATGAGTTGACTGTAACGCCTTGATGCAACAATTCGTGTTTCACGGATGTGCGTGTTGCATGTTCAAAATTGAAGGCAGTTTCTCACTCTTTCAGAGATGCATGGGACTTGTCAGTTGCAGCACTCTAAATACAGAGTACCTAAATAGGGAGAATTTCACAAGTAGTGACACAAGGCTGAAGTATCTAAGGCGAGTAATTGAATCGGTCATTCTTAAAGAAACTTAAGCGCAAGAAATGAAAACCCGAGAACCACATTGGAAACTGTGGTAATCTACACATTTTAAATCTTAGATCACATAATAATGTGATTTAATAATTTATCGCTTTAGAATTCCAGAGCTCTGAACTTTGGAACTAGTCGATTTCAATGTTTGTTTACGGTATTTCTGGTATTGTATTTTGTGGAACTTAAGTCTTTCTTTAGAATGACCCGTTCAAATCGGTGACTTCCTTGATCTAAGAATACTACCTACATTGATTGTGAGTTTATCGAGGCGCTTTGATGCAATTATTTGTGTTCCACAGATGTGCGATTTGCATTTTCAAAATTGAAGGCATTTTCGCTTTTCTCGCATCTTCAGAAATGCATGGGAGTTGACAGTACTTTTAGCACCCAAATGACAGAGTGCCTGTGTAGAGAACATAGGTATTGTATCTTAATCCACTCACTACACTTAAATAAGTGCCGCTCTCTAATTGGTAACTAATTTTAAGCTATTATGGATAGCCTGATTTCTAAATTTTGAAATAAATTCTGAGCAAAATGTAATGGATATTTTTGCCGAGAATCGTCCTTTTTCTGTCAGTCCCACTCATTTCGCCTTCGATAAAACGAATATCTATTGATCGCTTTTGTTCATCCGGATAAAGAGTTTGTAAAAAAAACTTGTAATTTTTTGGAAGAACTCCTAAAATAATTTGGTAGAAATTAATTGTACACATTAATTGTAAAGTCACGCAATCTGTGAATTGTTATGAATTGTTTTGTTTTTTACTTTAACACTATATTAAGTTTCGTTAAAAATCGCGAGGAATATTTGCTAGAAATCGATAAGTGGGAGGCTTTCAAGATTGCGTATGAATTACATCAAAAATTAACGATCGTCATCATTTCCAGACTTTAGACCGGTCAGTCCGCGAGGTATCTGTCTAGTTTATAGATTGAGCAAAAACATCGGCCAGCTCGAAGTTTGAGCAATTTTGTCAACGGGGTGCAACACATAGAATAGTAGCACCAACCAATTACTAAGAATTAAACGACAAAAATTTGCATGCATCCTCATTGAAAATACTCGTAGTGTAAAACCCATAATCTCACGAAACCCCAACCTACAGCCGTATAACAACATTTCCGTGGTTGTGAACGTGGGAAACTCAAAGTCTCTCGGGAGTAGTACACAAAACGGTGATACTCACGCTCAAGAGAGGGACACAAGCGCTGGAACTGTGAGTCAACAGGAAGAGGGTGAGAAAACAGAACTCCAGGAGACGCAAGGGATGATTGCGAACAGGGTTCATCTTACGAAACAGATCACATGAAAGAAACTCGATAGCGGAAAATTCACCGACTCAAAGGCTGAGGGCCTTTATGGCACCACTCGCCATCCCGATAGACATCTCCGCCGATTATTGCATCGCTCAGTGGGCCTGTCCTATGGCTCTTCAGCTTCCCATCCCCTCCTCCCCCCCATCCCCCGGTAGACGCGATTTCATTGATAAAAGTGTCACCCATTCATGTAACTATAACGCCGTTCAATAAGCCGATTCGTAACCTAATTATGATTTGACCTTGTTCTAACGCTCGTGCAATAGCATGCATCGATTAAATACACAATGTTTTCAAAATAATTTTAAACATTTTTCGACAGAAAATATTTTTCCCCCGATTTGAGTTCTTTCGTTTGTTTTAATTATCATGGATGCGATAAATTATTCACACTTCTCGCAAAAAAAGAAAAAGAAAAAAAAGACAGTCTCTAAAACTGTATTAAAATTGCTCAAAAAGCGCATGCGCAAATTGTCACTTACGTTCAATCCTAGGATTTATTTAAATCTTGAAGTATTCGCTTTCATAGATTCTCTTAAATTACTAAGCCGAACTTGATATTCTAGGTATTCGGTGATTCGATTCTCCACGCCGCGAACCGCTGCAATCGGCTTAAAACAAACATTGGCACGACAGATAATATCGGGATGGTTGCAACACTCCAGAGACTGAACACAAGCCTTTAACAGAGAAAAGAACAGAGTTCGATGAACAATTTAGTTTTATCCAAGTGAAATTTTCATATCCTTGAAACTAAGTAGTGTGATCAACAGACTGTGCCAAGTTAAGAAAAACTGGGATTTTCCTTTATTTTCATTTTTTTGAGGGGAAGAGGGATAAGAGTCTGCTTGATAATCAAAAGAAATAATTTTTCAAAGAGTAAATTTGAATAAAACTGGACTTGGTTTCAGTGTATCTCACACTGAAAAAAGTATCACATAATCTCAAGTATACTCCTGGCTAATTTTGACGCCCGATATAAGATTAGTTGCGCTTGCCAGAGGTACGGTTGATCTAACCACACTTTTGGCAGACTTAACCGTACCTCTGACTGATGCAACTACTCTTGTATCTGGTGCCAAAATCAGCCAGGAGTTTAATCGGGATTGACACTTTTTTCCCTCGACTCTAGAAAAATCTAACTGGGGGCTAAGCATGGACTTGAAACGATATGAATAAACGATAACGATATAAATTAGTTGCGCCATTTTTACAACACGGTCATTGCGTAGAGCAAAACATAAACAGATTTGGCAAATTTATTCGGGACCTATCTTTGGAGTTGTTTTAATGTATTTTCTAATAATTTTTTCATATCATTGTCTGTCGCATAAGAGTGCAAAAAGCAGCTCAGGTTTTTTGTGTGTGTTTTTTTTTGGTTAGAAAAATACACGTAGGTATATTTTAAAATTTAGAAAATATCAAGGATCTATACGTTGTTTATCGAATCGTTCAGAGGTGTCATGATTCTGCCTATTTTGACATCGATTTTGTTGCTTTTTCCTTTTAGTGTATTTTCCGAAGGAAATGTGCACTATTTTTTAGTGTATGGACTTTAAAATCCCTGACGGATGCATAAAAACAAGTACTTACGCCGAAGAGCGGGACACAAGCTGCATTGGATGTATTGATCAACAGGAGAGCCACTAGGCTGAATTCCAAAAGCCCTACTACATTATGGCAAACATGGCTCATCTTGAGAGAATACACGAAAAATACCCGATACGAGCAGAATGTTCTGCAACTCAACGGCCTAGAACACTCTCGGCACTCCACTGTTTATTAACATCTCAAACATCTGCCATAGTTATTTTACTATGTAACTTTTCATATTGATTCCCCTCCACCCCATCCATTCATAATCGTGATTTTGTAGATAAAACTCTATTGCGGCAACCGCACCTAGAGAACAGCAGGAGATAACCGTCAAAGACTAGCAACATTGCAAAAATCTCACTGCATCTAGAGTTGCCATCATATTTGGTGGTATTTCTGCCAAACGGAACTATGTGCATTAAGATATGAGCCCTGAGACCCATAAGAATCAGTGCATAACAGGGCTCACGTCAAAATGTACATAGTTCTGTTTGATAGAAATACGTCCATTTATCCATCCTAAGCTGCCACGATATAAGAGAAAACGCCGTAAGAGCCTTCAGACGATACAAATTTCCTCAAAGAAATCACTAAATCTCGGAAAATTGGTACACATTATTTCCCCATTTTTTCAGAGAATTTCGTTCATAACGTTATCTAAAGCGCCTGAAAATTTGAAGAAAAATAGGCATGGCTTTTCTCATAAAAATAAATATTTTCTGATAGGAAATTTGGCAACATTCGAATGTTCCCACGGAGTTCTTCCTTAGCATGACACTAGGGGCCCCCACGGGGTCTTATCGTCGTCACTCTGACGTAAGGGCTTATCTCGATTTCCACTTGAGCCCTACTGGCCGATTATTAACTGATAGACAAAGGTATAGACAAAGAAGACATAGGGAGTATGGAGCGATCCTATTGGTTGATATCGTTGGTTTTTATAGTTTAATGAAGAGAATGACGATGAACTAATTGTAGGGTCTTTGGTGGGTTGCCGTTAGTTAGTCTATTACCTAGACCTCCTACGTCCATTTTGCCACCCCCCGCTTCCACAAATAGGATCCCTCCGAATCCCTTTTGTCGTCTTTGTCTATAGCTTTGTCTATCAGTTTCAATAATCGGCCCGCTGTTCTCTTTATAACTGGACGTACTTATACTAAAATGAACTAATGTTACACGCAAACCCTATGCACATAGTTCCTTTTAGCAGAAATACGTCCATTTATAACTATACACTTTCAGGAGCTCATGGGGAAATAGACAAACGCACTTACGTTAAAAGAACGGCGTTATGTACACATTCTCTTTATGAAGGTACTCCAGAGGTGGCATATGTCATCGGATAAACAAATACACTGCATTTGACAATGGGGAGCCACTACCTCTGGCTCATCGATAAAATCACGTATCTGCAAGAGAGAACCAATGGCACTTATGTTGTTTCCAAAATGTGCTAGGAACAGTGATTACTCATTGCAAAATTTTTGTCATTCAAACCCACAAATATGAACGGATCTGTATAAAAGAGCCTTATTTTTCAAGAGAAAATTATCCTAAAATTCTTTGCAAATGCACGGGGAAAGAAATTCTGAATATTTTGGCGCAAGTTTGGAAAATTTTGATGTTAAGGTACGTTTTATGGTCTATTTTAAAAATTAAAAAAATAAATTCTATCCACCTCTTATTATATTCTCCCGAGTGTTTCAGGATATGCAGTTGGTATATCTTAATTTTCATTTACTTTTACACACATGTCCGGAGAACACGTGTGTAAAATTTTTTCCCGTTATTTCTCATAATTCTTTAAAATAATGTAGACCTGTACAGATCGCTCCAAAGATTGAAGACTCTAATTTTTTTTTTTTTTAAGCCAAGGAATGTCATTACGGACAAACGTTTAAATTACTCACGTCAAAAGTTTTGCACCGAAAACAAAACATCGAATTTTAATCTGCAATAAAGCGAATCTAGGGTGCGGTGTTTCAAAATCTCTGCTCCGTCTTTATCTCTGAAAAGGAGCTCGAACCCAAATCATTGATTGAAATTTTCACAGAATTTTCTTCACTTGAGAAGAAAAATCACTGAAACTTTCAAAAAAATGGTGTCAAGTAGTTTTTAATACAAAAAGGTATAGCAGGAAGTGTGCAACGATGCAAACCTAGGTAAGCATTTCTGCAGTTTCAACATTGCCATAAGACTGTCAATGGATGTATTGAAGTTCCCCCATAAAATTCGAGTGTAGGTAAACTTTGAAAGGCATTTGCGACTATAGTGGCTATTGATTGAAATTATGCGTCTTCTTAATTAAAAAAATCGGAAAATCTTTTTAATGCTGATTATTTTACCGATGGAATGAACCCTATTCGCAAACTCACTGTATATTTTCCCAAGAATTATAAGAAAATTCTAGAACGTGAAACCAAAATCATTAAAATACAAAGTTACTCCATTTGATCAACTGATCGACATGTCCATTAAACGGAGAGGTAACGTCTTACCGATTTTCATTTCTTTTTTACGAATCCAAGATCTTTAATCAAGGAATATGTTTTCAAAGACCGCGGCAGTAGAGATCCACTCGTTTTTGTAAAATTATATGCTCAAATCTTGAATTGTTTTTGTTTGGTCGACCCTCGTTAAAAAGGAACATTTCTAAGTAGCAAGAACATGATACTAAAAATTGACACGATCTGTAAACGTAATTTTCACATTTATTTAAAATCTAATTTTTCGGCAGAACATTTTTACAGTAAAATACAGCTTAACAAAATTATCCAACTTCGCCTCATATTGATTACGAGTACAACGCGTTTTAAACTTTTTTCATGACATTTCCTTTTAACTGAAGCGAGAAAGAGACAGTTCCTCTATGAATCACAGTTCGTATGAGATCTTCGTAAATGGAATAACTTTGAGTCAAATATAATCATTAAACAAGGACAAAAAGTGCAGAATAAATAAGGGTTTGTGTGCACCGTTGGGTATTATTCAGTAATGAATTAATGAAGGTTTTGAAGAGCTGAATGAAATCATGGGTTACAGGTGCCAGAAACTCCAAATATTCCGTGCACTTATGGAGGTGTACTACAGTCTTTTTCGATGCAAAAAACCATGTTTCCAACTTCAACTCATAACAGTTAATGAATGAGGTAATAATATAAATTTTAGTATTTTAATTGTGTAAAAAGAGAAATGTACTTCAACTTCAAATTGTAGCTCAGTTCTAGAATATTACGTTTTTAAGTTTTACTAGCAGTATGGCGAAAGAAACAAACAGTTAAAACAGTTTAAAATAAAAACCCTCGAATTAAAATAGAATGACGAGTGAAGCAAAAGCATAGTCATAGCAATCAGATCTGATGGACTTTGATGACAGAAAATAAAACTATAGCATTTTAAAACCAACGATGTTCATCAAAGATGTTGCCATCTTTGTATCATCGATAAAACCCGGCTAAAGTTTTACTTCCGACCGTCATAAGATTGCTATGCATTATGCTTAATTTTGCACTCTACGTTTGCAAAAATGAAGTGATTTGAAGACATTCGGCTCAAATCATATTTTGAATCATATGTATTTGAGCCGAGTGTCTTCAAATCACTTCATTGTTAGACAATCCACTCAGTTGATTTGATTTTTCTCAGTCATAAATAAGGAGGTAGAGCTTGACTAAATTTTATTCACTGCGTTCAAAATTCGGCTTGAGTTGTGTCATGGTAAAGGCTACAAACAAAATACGTTCGCTGCAGTGGGTCCTTTATCGCTGGAAACGACTTCGAACTCCACGGCCTGGCCCTCGGTGAGGGTTTTGAAGCCATCGCACTTGATCGCTGAGAAATGGCAGAAAACGTCTTTGCCACCGTCGTCTGGAGTGATGAATCCGTACCCTTTGGAGTCGTTGAACCACTTAACTTTGCCCTTCTGCCTTCCTTGGCAATCGTATTCCGGGCAGAAAACAGCGAGGAGGGACAAGCACATAAAGACTGCTACGTTCTTCATTTTCCTTTGGTTTTTTGGGATGATCTGAAACAAGGGAAAAATTAACGGACGTTAAAGTAACCTCTCTCTCCTTTTTAGTAAAGAGCTTTTATTTGTAATTGTCCCAAGTGAGCTTATTGCCATTTCATGATGATACCACTATTCGACCGCGCAGGAGCTCATATTGCCTACACTAAAAATTGAAGGCAAACTGACATGACGTTAAAGTAACCTCTTTCCGTTTAGTAAAATTATTTTATTTGTACATGTCCCGAGTAAGTTTGCCATTTCATGATGATACCACTATTCGACCACGTCGGAGCTCGTATTGCCTATGCTAACATTTGAAGGCAAACTGGCATGACTTCAAAGTGAATTCTTCCTTTTTAGTAAACATATTTTTGTTTCAAACGTGGCAAATAACTGGACTGCACTTTGCAATGTAAGTAGTGCCAATATTTTCAACTCATCCATAAAAGTGCGCCTCTTTGTAAAGGAATTAATAACATATTATTATGTTATTTCTGATGATGAGCCAGATATGGTGGGATTATTTCAAAATGCAGTCTAGAAAATAATTTCTAAATAATAACACGAGGAGAAAAAATGGCAGACCAACAAAAAAGCAAATACTATTGAACCGTAGTCGGAGATAATTTTTGACTGAGTATACAAAACACCTAATGATTTTCTCTTGCTCTTTTTATTCTTTCTCAACTGCAATTATTTTCAAATCCGTAGGGTAGCGTTAGCCTACTTAATTAGTGTACCGCGTCCTTTAAGAAAACTTTGGAAAATGGAGGGGAAGTGGTAGTCAGAACCAAAATTGCATTATTTTAATGGAAGTTTCTTGCGCTATGTCATGGAGCGTTGTAAGGGGTGGGTGGGATTGAAACAACCAAATTATGAACACCATTCATAAATTAATGAATAAAATAGACAGTGAGAATTTTGATATGCGGTAATGGAGATGCGTGTATTTTTTTGTTTTGTTTTTTTTTTTACTTAATGTGCTCTATTGAAACATTTTCATGCAGAGGACGATGCACATAACAAACATATCAATATAGGAGCACCTAACCTCACTGTTAACACATGTATTAAGCATTGATTAGATAAGAGGTGAACGACAATGTTCGTAGACATTCGTTTGAATAATGTCGATGATAAAATTTTTTATCACCAATGACTAATTTTTGAACCTCTCGTATGATCTGTCACTTTTTTATTACATTGAAACAGAAAAGAGGCCTGTAAAAAAATTACATGATTCAT